TCATAAATGCCTTAAGCAATTTAGATCATAACTCTCTTATTTATATATTGTTTGATTGGCTACTAACTTACCATCTAATAGCATAAATATAAAACAGGTACCTTATATCATGTCTTAATTCCTTTAATTAAATCAGGTATTGAAAACTTAAGGACACTTTCACCACCAATGCAAAATAAGTCCTTGAGTACAGGTAAGGTAGTTAAGTATAGCTGTAGGTAGTTTAATTTCACTTATCAAACTCATTTGGTGTGAAATTTGTATCAAATGCTAATTCATTTAGATTTTATTGTAAAAGTTAGGAAGTATGATGACTTTAAGTGACCAAAATTTTCATCTCTTTGTACATAAACCTTACTTGGTTTCTCTCTATTAGAATCTGTCAAGAATCAAATTTGATTTACAAAATACATCTATTCACCTCTATTTCTCTATCTCCATCTCTCTGCGTTTAAAGCTTGCAACTTTTCACTCTATTGTTTATTAGGTTGTTTTAGATTTTCCTAAAACCACAAACTTCATTACTTTTTCTGTATAATTCTTTAATTTTTTTTTATGAAATATGAATCTCCTGTTATTTTGGTTTTTTTTTTTTTTTAGTTGCTAATAGCGCTTCACTTGCGGGAGAGGGAAAGCTGGGAAAAGGGGTAAAGAGGGCTGTGAGAGGGGGAGGTAGGGCTGATGGGTTAGAGATTTGGGGAGAAAAAGGTGGGAGAGCTAGGAAAAGATGAAAGAGAAGTGAAAGAGTTACATTTTTTAATTATTTTGTAAATAAAAAAAAGTCCACATATGATTAAAAAACAGTATTAAGCCACTTTAGCGCTACATAGGATATTTCCATTAGAATATATAACAAAGTTAACGGAAAGGACTAACGTGAAAAAAAAAATATACTTCAAAGACGAAAATGAATAAAAAAAATTAGAGGAAGAAAGTGAATTTTATCCTAAAATTAAAGAACGAAAAGAATAATTTTACCTTTTAAAATTGATTTGATGAAATACAATTATTTAAAGAAATTGAGATATATATCTAGTTTAATCTCAACTAGAAATTTCATAATAAAATATGTGTCATCACAAGATAAATTAAATTTATGAGCAAAACAAACAAATATTTAAATTATTTACTCTAATGATCTAGGTGATATATAGGGACATAAATAAATTATTTTTTATATATATAATATTGTGATTAGACTAGAGTTGACCTAATTGCTAACTTGATTGATTTTGTTCACATCTCACATACAAATCTTTAAGTTAGTAAGTTTTTTGTTCATGATACATGAAAATTATACTGACTCACCATCTATATTTCGCAACACATCAAAGTCTATATACACTATCTTCTTGGGTCAAACAGACAAAAACTTGAAGATGAGTGATATTAGAAAAATACAAAAGAGACTTATTCTGCAAAGAAAACTTACATTTGACTTGGTGATTTGATATGCAACAGTTTACTAATTTTAGATCTAGATTGAGTTTAAAACTTTTTAGTAATAGAATGTTATATTTTTTATTTGACTTATTTGTCATGGATATTTGCTCACTAATGTTTTGCATCATCATTATTTTTACAATTTCTTGTTCTAAGTATTTTTATGAGCTTAAAGACATTAATCATTGTCTTAAAGATTATCCATACTCTAAAGAAATTTGATTTTGCTTTGAGGTGTATTTTTTCATTGTAATTTTTATGACGCTATCACTTAAATTGCGACTTTAGTTTTGCACATTTTCTATTTATTCATTCTTTGATGGCTTTTGGTTTTATAGAAATAATATGATCTTTAATAAGGAGAAATAAAGTATCAATCATGTTTTGAATTTCACTAGTCAATCTAAGAAGGATTGTTCTCTTTTAATTTCAAACAATTTAACTCTTAAACTCATATTTTTGAGAGATGTCATAGAATCTACCATCTTTTCAATACAATAAAATTAAGGTGGATAGTAATTATAGGATGAATCATATGAGTTACGGTGATGTTATATGATACTATAGTGATAAATGACTAATATGTTTACTTCTTTTGATGATAATATGTCTACTCTTTGTGCTGAATTGAAAGTAACTTTTTAGGGTCTCAACTTAGTCAAATTGAAAAGTTATCATATCATGATTTTTGAATTTAATTTCTTAGAAGCAGTGAACTTTATTTCAAAGAAATCAAAATTTATTTCTATTGAAGTGTGTTTTATTCTATATGATATTCATCATCACGTGCAAAATTCATATACTTATATTATTTTCAAAGTTAATTCAGTAGCTAACAATTAACTAACTTATTTAACACTTTTATCTTAAGATTCTTCAAATATAATTTATAGATAGTTTACATATTTTGTAATTTTTTTTTGTCTTTGTCCAAAAAAAATTAAACATGTGCTACTAGTTTATTATTATTCTCACCATTATTTTTTATTTAATATTTAAGGTGATAAGAATTAAAAAATAATGTTTAATTTGTGAAATTAAAAAAATTCATTGATAATACAATAAATCACTAATAAAAATAAAATAAACAAAAGGAAGTAAATATAGTTGTAGTTATAAGATTTAATGACTTTAACAAGTGAGGATTTGTGAGTGTAAATGCACACCAATGTGGGTGGATCCCACGTACCTAAGTCATGTATAAATATCCATCTGTTCTATATTTAAAAAATAAGTGTTTTCTTTTTAATAACAAATATATATTTTAATAAACTTTTAGTTTACTTATATTTTTATATTAATTATGTGTGATTTTAATTTTTTGAAGTAATTATTTTTTTAATTTAAATTGTTCAAATTAAGTCTTTTACTTTAAAATTTTATTTAATAATAATATTAATATTAATAATATGATATATCATTATTTTATATAGATTTATAAAAGAAAAATATATAAAATAATTTAAGAAAAATCATTATATTTTTCTATATCTTATATATAGAAGATTGGAAGTCAATAGTTGAGACTTACATTGTTCCTCAACTAATTCCTTTGTAAAATGCAAGAATGAGTAGTGATAATCATTTGATAAAGTAATTCAAATATCCATCATGAGGTGCATACCTTTTAAGATTAAGTTGAATAGATTTAATTAATAGTTTTGATTTGGTCACAGTATGAAAATGAATCGCATTCACATTCAAGAACATATGTTGCAGTTGTTGACCCGTTATTACACAAGGTCATTGCTGATTTTTCCTTTCTAGACATTATTATTGCCTTTCAAGTACATGAATTATTAAAATAAAAAACTTAATTAATTAAGTATTATAAAAATTGTATAATTTAAATTTAATTTTATAAATTTTTTATTAGAATATAATTTCTACTTTTTTTCTGTAATTTATTTTTAATCTTTTTAATTGACGCGATACAGCTAAAAACTGATACTTATTAAGTATCTTAATGGATTAATCAAGTAAAGAGACTAAAAAAATATAAATTATATTCTAATAAAAGAATTTATAAAAATTAAATTTAAATTTTACAATTTTTTAGATATCAAACCCTTAAATAAGCTTAAAATAAATTTTGTCAAACAAAATATTTCTTGAACAAATATTTTGTTATTTTAATAAAAATTTACCATACATAAATTTTATTGTGTATCTTTAAGAGTGAATATTAATTAATTTACTCAATTTAATAATTTTTATAATAATACATTTTATTAATTTAATTGTTTATTTAAATTTTTAATAAGTAAATTATATTTACAAAATTTTGTAAAATTTTGAAACTATTGAATATTTTAATATTTAACTCGTTTTAATTTAACATATATAATCATAAAAATAATATTACTTGATAAAAAAATGAATTGATTAAACAGTTATTTTCTCCTCTCTCTGACTCTGACCTCACTTTCCATAAGATGAAACAATAATACTCTGAAGTATTCAAAAGAACTGATACCTGATGTGGCCTTGCACTAAGCTTCGCAAAATTCTGTCAATTACTATCCACACATATTTGATCCACACTTGATTTTCTGCAACTCTTTTGGGAATGGGAATCATTACTCATGACTCATGACTCATGACTCATGATTCATGATTCATGACTCATGACGTGCCTGCTTATGTACAATGCTTGTCATCAAAGTTATATGTTTAATTTTTTTAATATGTATCTAAAAATTCACATTATAAAAAATCATATGTTTAATTATATTATAGTAATTATAAAATTTAATTTAACGGCATAATTTTAATTCATGAGTTGTATATTATGCTTGTTTTAATAAAATTGTACATTAGGACTATGAAACAAGGAATTGGCGCCACATATATAATAATAAAATAAGCAACCTATCACATAATGATACATGCCCATTTAGGTTAGTTGCAAACTGACACCCAAAAATCCCATGCACATAACTCTAAAGAACAGTTACATAAAATGGTGCAAACAAGCACATCATTTAAAATTTTTATTACCTTTTTTTTATTAGTTTTATCTTTTGATTTATTTTATTTAAATTTTTTCAATGTTTAATAGATTATCTTTTTTATCAATTTTATTTAACTCTTTGATTAACAGTGTTAGTTGACTTCATACATATATATTTTAATTTTTAAAATCATAATAGAATATTTTTAGTAACTGTTATTGGTTATTTCAAGACTAAAATTAACATATTTTTCCAATAAAAGGACCAATTTATCATATTTTTAAAATAAAATAAAATAATATTAAGTCAAATAATATCACTATTAATATACAACTGATAAAAAATATAATTAATTTTTTTACACGTTAAAAAAATTAAAAACATTTAAGAGAATTAAACCAAAAAAACAACAAAATTTGCCTTATAATAATATTATTAAACTGCAAAATGGGCAATGATTATGCTATATTCGGGCTAGGTAGCTAGCATCCAAGTTGTTGACAAAGGAAAGGTCAAGAATAACTTTAACTGAAGCTGCTTGTACCTATTTCTCATTTCGCATCAAGTTCACTATATAAACGATAGTATAAGAAAGTTTCAGCCATCAGCCCAAATACAAAGTAGGAAGAGCTTCATCAATAATTAGAGGGAGGGATGGCATATCAATGCCCGTACCCACGGCAGCCACAGCCCCAACCCTTTCCCTCCGCCCCCATGCAGCCGCACCCCGCCGCCGTCATCGGCCCTCAGTTCTGTGCTCCGTATCCCGTCGATCTTGCCGTTGTCAAGAAAGTCATGACCATTTCAGACGGCAACTTCGTCGTTACTGACATAAACGGCAACGTCGTTTTCAAAGTTAAGGGCTCTCTTCTAACTCTCCGTGATCGCCGCGTTTTGATCGATGCCGCTGGCAATCCAATCGTCACCTTACGGCGGAAGGTTCCTTATTCTCCCTTTAACTATATATGCCATCCATGCACTTTCACTTTTTCTTCTTCAAAATCTTCCTTAATTTATTTTCTGTTTTAGTTTAGTTTTACGTGGTAAATGATCACATCTTAATTACACTAATAAAGTTTTATCTCAAAAATTTAAATACAAGATTAATATAATATTTTAACTTTATTAATTTATTTAAAGTATAATATGGTAACTTAGAAAAATTACTCTATATTCTTATTACAAATTGCATATTCCAAGTTAAGCACGGGTATTTAGGTTATTCTGTATTTTGCGGATGGAGCATAAACACTCAAATTTCAAGAAACCTTGCTTTTACAGTCTTCTCATCTTCAATGACGGATGAAAACTATTTTTTGCATCCAAATGAAAATCTTTCTTTTGTTATTAGTTTCACTATTATTGGATGACAAAAATTATCATAGTTGAGCACATGCAGTAAAATTGGCATTACAATCAAAGAACAAGATTGGTCTTTAATTCAACCATTAATTATAAATTCGTTATTTAAACCATGGAAACGGTGCAATACAAGGATACTTTCTTGGTTACAAATTCAATTTCTAAATCCATTGTGAAATCAATTTTATAGATTGACAAAACTTCATATGTTTAGAAGGATCTTTAAGATAAGTTTTCTTTAAGGAGATATTTTTTAAATTACAAAACTTCAAGAAAATCTTGATCAATTTTATCAAAGCAATCTCACTGTTTCATAATATTTTTAAAAATAAAAATAATATGGGATAAACTAGAGAAATAACAGACTCTATATATCTAAATTGAATAAATCAAATAACAGATTATATATATCTGAACTGAATAAACTAGAATACTAGATAATAAGGAGGACCCTTTAAGATATACTTTCAAAAATATTACTAATCTTTTTCTATTCTTTTTTATGTTGTCACACAACTAACGTAAAATACCGTTGACTGTATGTGTAAACAAATTTGTGGAGACATGCTATTTATAAATAACGACTTTCTTCCTTTTAATTTTTTCCAGCTTATTCGGTGATTGTTCACAAGTATTTTACGAACAAGAAATTCAACATATTTATCATTTATCAATTAATTAATTTTTCACGCATCAATGTTTATCTGTTAAACATAACATCATATATCCCTATATCATTCACAATTAATCTAATATATTGATGTTGATGTTATATAATATATAGTAAATTGCACTATTGATGCAGATAATGACCGTACACGATCGATGGCAAGCCTTCAGGGGCGAAAGCACAGACCCAAAAGATCTAATTTTTACTCTGAAGCGCTCATCCCTGATCCAGTTTAAGACTAAATTAGATGTGTTTCTAGCCCATAACACCACCGAAAGTGTTTGTGACTTTAAGGTCAAAGGTAGTTGGTTTGAACAATCTTGCACTGTCTATGCTGGTGAATCTAACACTGTTGTTGCCCAGGTAAAACTTCTCTCGTTAAATAACAAAATTTATTTTACCAAAAATTTAATCAGATTTAATATACTTTCAGCGAGTTACAACTTTAGTATTTATTTATACAATACAATATAACATTTTGTGGGATTGTTATTGCAGATGCATAAAAAACACACTGTTCAGAGTATTTTGATTGGGAAAGATCATTTCATGGTCACTGTGTATCCCAACGTTGATTACGCGTTCATAGTGGCGCTAATCGTGATTCTGGATGAGATTAACAAGGATGCGGATGAACGTGAATAGAGGAATGCTATACGTTCAACAAATCCTGTTGTACTTTTTGTCAATGGTGCTATATTCCCAATATATATTGTAATATTTTCTTAGCTGAAAATCTTTCTACTTCAAATAAGTAAATAAAAGTTAAGATGAAGTTTGATTTACTATAGATATGTAAAGTTAAGTTACTAATAATCTGTCTATATACAACTTACAAAAAAAAATATATAAAATAAAATTATTGTAAGAATGGAATTGCTTTTAAATTCCTACTGCATAACAATGCATGTCATTCCACTTGAATAATATAGCTAGTTGTGCAATTGTATAGGTTTTTATTCTGGGGCAATCATTGTCTGGATTTAAATTCAACCACGAAACAGAGAATAATTGCCTGGACCGAGGATCATTGGGCTTCGTACAAGCAAAGATGCTAGACAATATTCTCTAAGTCTGGTTAAAATTGGGGTTTTGTTAATGAGTACTTTTCTTTTATTTATTTATCCTAAATCTTCTCTTTAAGCAAGAATTTCAATATAATAATTAAAGCCCGGCCCTCCAAAATTATTGTTGCATATAACAATGTGTTCATGTGTAGTAAAATGAGATAGAACCTAGCGTAAGGATGATAATAAGGAGGGTATTATATAATATTTATCCTTGTAAGTTTATTTTAAAAAATTATTTGTATTTATTATCCTCAATGATTACGATCCCTAGCTATTTCCCTACATATCGAATAGTTAAATTTTCATATCCATTTTTACTACTCGAAGTTTAGTTAGTTAAAATACTATTATACTTTTTTACAATTCAATACAAAGTATTAATTAGAAAACTTCAAACACAATGTTGAATTACAATAAGAAAAAAATATATTATATAAAGTTTCAATATCAAGATATTAACCTCGTGTATTACAAATTATAATATTTTATTTAAAATTAAAAATAAAATATTAAAACAATAGAAAAAGGTATTTTGGTAAACCTTCACAAAGCTTTCCAAGACTTTCCATGCTCTTTCAAGAAAGGAGCTCTGCTAGGGTTGTTTAACCCTAGGGTTCTACTAGTCTTGCTTAGCTACTACTATGTTAAGACTAGATTCCTGAAGGCAAAAGGAAAGGTTTCTACCTTAGATCGTTTCCCCATCAAGATTTGTATGGAAGGAATTATGTCTCTGAATGCACAAGAACGTTCTAAGGAAGAAGTTCCTATTTTGCAGCAAAAAAAAAAAGGGTCAAGAGAACCTTTTTTTTTTCCTGTGGAGATGTGCTAGAGACTCAAGCGCAAGAAGATATTTTGGTTGATGACGAGATGGTTCAAGTGTTTTCTAACCCTAAATCCTTTTCTTGCATATCACATAAAGATAAGGTTCTCTCTAATAATAACCTAGATCTAGTATTAGGAGACGAAAATATTATTAAATCTATCTTGGAGGATTTTAATATCTCTCTAGAAATAAAAGAACCTGTAACTAATAATACTGAAAATCAGAACTTCTACCTTGAACTAAAAATTTCCTTGGAAGATTACAAAACATGGGGTAATCCATGGAAACTGACTTTGATCATGAAGTTCTTAGACAAATCTATTAGTTTTAACTTCGTGAATCAAAAGCTTAATAACATTTAGAAAAAGAATGGTAATTTGAAAAAATTGAGCTTTAGTAATGATTTTTTTTCTTGTCAAATCTGAGAGTATAGAGGACTATAAATATGCCCTTTTTTAGGGGTCCTTGGCTTATTTTGAACAATTATCTCTTAGTTCAAAGATGGAGGCCTTTATTCAGGCCTAAAGATCATATCTTTAGGAGAATAGTTGCCTAGATACCTATTCCTGACTTATCCCTAAAGTTGTACAATGAAAAACTCTTATGGCAAGTTGGGGCTTGCATGGGGTCAATGCTCAAGATTGATCCACATGCTCCCCTATTAGCTAGAGGTAGATTTATCAAAATTTGTGTTGAGTTAGACCTTAGTAACGAGCTTATTCCCTCTTTCAAAGTCCTAAGTTAGGAGTTTATGGATGAATACGAGGGCCTGCACCTCATTTGTTGATCTGGACGTTTAGGAAGATAAATTTGTTGAGGAGCAAAGTAAATTTGGTCCTAGATGCTAGTCAAGAAATCATTTAGGAAGAAAGTTGGACAGCCTAGAATCTCTAGTGTAACTACTTATAATAGGAAGAGTAGGAAGCCCTATTAAGGATCTAGGTTTGGAGCCCTATTAAACTCTCCTTATGAGATTAGCCAAGAAGCTCCCTCTAAGCATTTAGAGCTAGTAGACAGTACATTGGGAAATAATAAGATAGAATTTGAAGACTCTAATATCCCTAAATCTAGAGTTGGAGGAAAGATTTTAGTAGATCTTAATGCCTATAAACTTCCTAAGAAATTAATAAAGCAAAAGCCTAGACTTAAACTTGAGAAGTCTAGGGGTGATAAGGCCCTAAATTCTTAGCCTGATAAAAAACATGTTCAAGAACTTGTTGTCTAGCCCCCAGTCAATACCAACTATAGTCAAAAAGAAATTTTCTCCCTAATGCATCAAATTCAAGAAGATTTTGTGAATAATATTCTCAGGGGTTATTCCATCCAAGATCTCTTAGGCATGTCTATTCAGAGTAGTTAAGCTCATCAAAATGAGCCAATTACCTCTCCTACTAATAAACCCCTTGATAGAGATCTCCCTATGGACATAGAATTAGTAAACAATAGTAGTATTAGGGCTAATGACCCTTAACGGTTGGAATTCAACTTTTGTAATGCCTAGCATTATTTAGATGCTTTATAAATCTCCTCTTTCCTTTTGAATTGCTTATTCTGGAACTGTAAGGGGGCTGGTCATAAGTCCTTCAGTAGGCTTGTTAATGAACTAATTGTAATTCATAAACTTAATTTTGTTGCTTTGTTTGAGCCTGGGATCAACCTTGAGAAAGCTAATCGAATAATTAATAAAATTAATTTAGATGGTAAGGAGAAAGTAGATGTTTTGGATTTTTTAAGGGGCATTTGGTGCTTTTGGAATACTAGGAGGGTTAAAGTTAGTGTCATTTCTAAGACCAAATATGTCATACATCTTAGAATCAGCAGTAATGGTTATGGTGATTAGATTCTCTCTTCCATCTATGCTAGTCCTATAGAAAAAAGTAGAGCTAAGTGTTGGAAAAACTAAATAAATTTTAGTTAGTCTGATGATATCCTTTGGTGCCTTGTAAGAGATTTTAATTCTATGCTTGTTGGTTCTATTCCTTCAAATACGGCAAGTGTACTGAGTCTGTTGCAAGTAATAACCAGTAGAATACTGAAAAATTAATTGAGCTTATATACAATAGAATTGGTGAATAGTTTTCATGTAATATTAAACAACACTTAAAATGTAAAACACTAAAATAAAATGCGGTAAAATTTAGGTTAAAAAGCTGGGATTGAATTTCATCTATTTCTCCCTATATATTCTAGTAATCTAGTAATAAATATAGCAATCATTTTCAATTAATCTGATGCAAAATATGAAAATCATATATTTCAATTTCTTGAAAATACATTTCTAAGATAATTTCTCAAATGTTGATTCTTCAAACAGTTAATAAACTATATAGCATTAAAATCAGGATTCAGAAGCAATCAATAACTTGAAATCTATTCCTAGAACAACCAGTTATTGAGTAATCTCAATCAGATCTAGATCTAAACAATACCTTTCCAAATATAACTCAGATCTGAACACTAGAAATTGTCAAATAACTAGATTCAAACATTAAAAACGGATTGAGATCACCAAATCATTAGAAATGAAGAAGAAACAATTATATTTATATATATTACTGAGAATACATCAGGTTTGAAGAGTTACATTCAATCCCATAAGAAGATTTAGCTGCTTATGGCATCTATAACAACAAAAATGAAGATACAAATGGAATAAAACATAAAAAACATGAGTATTCCTACTCTTCTTCTATGTCTTGCGCCGTTTGGACCTCTGGAAAATGAAGTTTGAACAGTGCACCCCCCACTTGAACATTAAAGTTGCCTTTTATACTGGTCTAGTTGAACTTCTCTCGCTACAGCGACATGGCCTTGCTGTAGCGAGAAATAGAGATAAAATTAGGTCATTCTGTTTTATTTTCACTGCAACGTTAACTCTCGCTACAGCAATAAAAAAGACTTCTCGCTACAACGACCACTTCTTGCTGTAGCAACAGGGGAACAGATTCACCCTTCTCCAGCTGCAAATTCTCGCTGCAGCGAGAAACCTCTAAAAGCTTACTTTTCTGCAACTTCATGCTTCAATTATTCCTTCCTCTAACTTTTTTTGATCTTCTTCAACCTTAAGTGATGTTTCTTTTGTGATTTCAGCTACAAAATAGATCAAAAAGAGCTTAAAACCATAAAATTGCATTCATTTCAAAAATATATTGTATTTGTAAAAGTTTCAAGTTTGAAGAAAATTTAACAAAATAATCCAACTTTTAACACAAAAGTGTTTAATTTACCATCTCAAATCACTTATTTTATACACTTATCAATGCTTTATAAGAGTGAGAAAGTAGGAGGTAATCCTATTAATCCTCAACTAGTCAAAAATTTTGTTGATTGTCTCTATTAGTGTGGTCTTCAGGACTTGGGTTTTAAAGGGTTTCCTTTCACTTGACAAAGAGGCAACCTGAAGGAGAGACTAGATAGGGTAATGGTGAATAAAGCTTAGCACTTATTTTTTTCATAATAACTCTGTCCTTCATGTTTCCCTCCTCAAATCTAATCACATGGGTCTTTGGCTCAAAGTTAGAACTAGAGATAATTTCCATCCTATTGAAAAACCTTTTAAATTTCTTTCTCTTTGGTTATCTCACCTTAACTTCCCTAATAAAGTCAAAAGCTCTTAGATAATGTTAATAAATTTATAACTTATATTACTAAATGGAACATATATACCTTTGGTAACATCTTTCATAAGAAAAAGACTTTTAAGTGAAATTGCTGACATTTTTCAAAAATTTTCTCTAAATAATAATCCTTTCCTCACCAACATGATGTAACTCTTTGGAAAGAATATAATATAATTCTAAACTAGAAAGAAGTATATCAATATCATCATTAGAGAACCCAATGGATGTCATTAGGTGATAGAAACACTCAATTTTTTCACAGGACTATTATTTTTAGAAAACATAGAAATATCATTGAATCCCTAAAAATTGAGACTGGTGACTGGGAGTTTAATCCATCTAAACTCAAATTAATGGCTATGGATTACTTCAAAGCTATATATCATAATCCTGCTCCCTCTGATTCTAATCTGAATACTCAAAATTCCTTTCTTGCTTTGAGAAATTCTGATAACTAGAAACTTTGTGCTAATCCTTCCATTGAGGAGTTTAATGCCTCTTTATTCAGCATTGATAACTTTAAGTCACTAGGACCTGATGGGATCCATGCTTTATTTTTTAAAAACCAATAGGAGAGTTTAGCTCCTTTTATGTTCAATTTTGTCTTTGATATTTTTCAGAACCCCAGCAAGATTGCTATGGTTAATGATACTATAATCATTCTTATACCTAAAACTGAAAACCTTGAAGACATTACGAACTTTAGGTCAATCTCTTTATGTAATGTCAACTACAAAATTGTTACAAAATTGATTGCTAATAGGTTAAGGGATGTTCTTCCTTATTTAATTTCTCCCAACTAGACTAGCTTTATCTTGGGAAGACAAGATATTGACAATGCCCTCATTCTTCAAGAACTAGTTCACTCTTTTCATAACCTTAAAGGCATAAATAACTACATGATCATTAAATAGGATTTAGAAAAGGCTTATGAAAGGCTTAGGTGAAATATTATAAATGAAACTCTTCATCAAATTGACGTAGACCCCCAATCTGATTAGCTTATTACATCACTGCAATTCATCTTCCTTAATGTCCATTAATTTTGAATAATAGCTTATCTGAATCCTTCTCTCCTTTCAAGAGTATTCGCCAAAGAGACTCAATCTCCCCTTATCTATTTGTCTTACGTATTAAAAGACTGTCTCACCTTATTAAGGATAAAAACATGAATGAGGAATGAACCCCTTTTTCTTTTGGTACCCAAGGCCCTAAAGTTTCTCACATATTATTTGCTGACTATGTGATTTTGGTTGCTCAAGCAAATATTAACCAGGCTAATAATATTAATAAGACTTTGATGAAATTTTGTATGACATCTCGCCTTAAAATCAACTATGATAAGTCCTTCGTTCTATTATCCAAAAATATTGATGTTGCTCTTAGTCAATCTACCAGTATTTGTTTAAATATTAAGGTTGTTAACCAGTTTGAGAAGCACCTTGGTATTCTCATATCCCATCATAAACCCTCTAGGAACCAAATCTCTTTCCTTATTGATAAAATTGGGTAGAAATTAGCCCTATAGAAAATGAATTCTCTCTCTTTAACTGGTAGAGTTACCTTGGCTCAATCTTGCTTAATAAGTATCTCTACTTATATAATGCAAACCCTTTTAATTCTCTCTTTCATTTGTAATGAAATAAACAACATTTGTAATAAATTTACATTGGATTTTTTGGGTACTAAAAAATGTCATCTTATTAGCTGACAGTATATTTGTAAATCTAAAATTGAGGGTGGTTTAGGTTTTAAGGATTTGCATATACTCAATAGAGCTTACTTAATGAAACTTTGTTGGAGGATGACTAAAAATCCTCTAGTCTGTGAGTCCAAGTCCTGAGTCATCAATATACTTTCAACCTTAGCAATATTTCTAGTATTAGGAAATCCTATAAAAAGTACTACCTTTGGAAAAATATCAGGTTGGTCTGACCTTAGTTCTCCCTAGGCCTAGGTTAGTTTGTTAAGAATGGAATGTCTATTAGGTTTTGGATCGATCATTGGATTTTTTATTTTCATAATATGTCCAATTATATTAATAGGCCTGTACCTGATATAGATCTGGACTCCTATGTGACTTTGTTTGCTGTAAAGGAAAATTGGGATTGAGATAAGTTCAAGTCCCTCCTTCCTAGTTAGGTCTACGATTCTATTATCCAAATTGACCCCTTGATAGGGTTAAGGGTCATATACTACTTTCTAGAATTTGACTAATAATGGTATCTTTACTATAACAACTGTTTGGAATGATTCTATTATCCAAAACTTCATATCAACTACTATTTAATTCTACCTTAAACCCTGATTGATGCCATGATTTATTTAAAAATGTTTCAGATTGGAAAGGTCCTCCTAAATTTGCTTTTCTTCTTAGAAAAATTGCTTATATGAAGCTTTTCACTAATGAGGAGAGAGTCAGGAGGGGTATGACTGATTTCCCAGTCTGCCCTAGGTGTGGTGATGACATTGTGACCATGATGCATACTTTGAGAGATTGCTTTTATGCCAAAATTATTTGGAATCAATTTATTCTTCCTGGTCACTAGGCCTAATTCTTTAGTAATGGTTTGACTAACTGGTTAAGATCTAATATAACTAATATTTGTATGCGAAACTTTCATAATTGGCCTATGATTTTTGGTATTGTTATTTGGTATATTTGGAAGGATAGAAATAAATTTATTTTTCAATAAGAATTTAGCTCAAAAAGCTTTATTTGATGTTGCTTATTTCTCTTATTGTTGTAGGAAAGGGTCCAAAACTCTAACCATATTAGCATTGGATCATTGTAAGGGAAGATGAGTTCCTTCCGTTACAGACCAGATGAAGCTTAATGTTGATAGGGCTATGTCAAGAAATAGAGGCAATGCGGCCTGTAGTAGTCTAATTCGTGACAATTAAGGGCATCTTATAATTGGATTCTTTACCAATCTTCACCCCTACTCTCCCCTCGAAGCTGAGCTTTGAGATCTTTATTTGAATATCCAGCTTGTGATTCAAAAAGGTATCCAAACCATATGGATTAAAAGTAATTCTAAAGAGGCGATCAATCTCATCCTTAAGGTTCATCCTCCTTCTTATACTTTGCACTCATTGATTTGTAATATTAGAAATTCTCTTAGAAGTATTAAATTTGTTAAGTTTGCTCACACCTACACAAAGATTAACCATTATATTGACACTCTTTAAAAAATAGGCCTTAATCCCCTTGGTCTCTTGCTTAAGTGTCTTCTTATTTTTGGGTTACTGACCTTGTTTTCTAGCAATATATGTATCTTGCCCTTCCAATCCTACGAGGTTAAAATCATTAGCAATGATTTTTCAATATTGTAAATCCTAGATCACATTTAACTGTTACAAAGAGGAAAAAAAGTATCCAAACCATATAGATTGAAAGTAATTCTATAGAGGCGATAAATCATGTTTGGCCTCCTTCCTATTCTTTGCACTCATTGATTTGTAACGTTAGAGATTCTCTTAGAAATATTAAATTTGTTATATTTGCCCACACCTACACAAAGACTAACCATTAAAGTGACGCTCTTGAAAAGATCGGCCTTAATCCCCTTAGTCTCTTGCTTAAGAGTCTTCTTATTTTTGGGTTATTGACCCTATTTTTTAGAATATATATATATATATATGGGGCAGGATCTTCTTACACTGGTGTAAGTCTAAAAACTTTTATATCTGAACCTTTTATTAACGGGTTATAATTTATTACTCTACTGGTCATTAAATTTAAGTTAAATGAAAGACTCAGATTAGGTATAAGAGTTTCTAGACTTATACTGGTATAAAATCTTTTTCCTATATATATATATATATATATATATATATATATATACCTTCGTTAATAATGATTTTCCAATATTCTAAATCCTAGATCGCATCCAACTGTTACAGATAGAAAAGGCCAAACAAAGAGTATTTCATACGAAAACACAACTCATTGTCTAACTTCTATATACTACTTAGTAATTCCTCATCATATTTATATAAATGATACAGGAAAGTTTCATCCATCCATCTATCCCACACATTAGGGGTGGTCAAAAAATCCAATTTCATAAATCCAATCCATAACTAATGTCAAATTGATTTTAAAAATCTAGATTCATATTAAACCAGTTTTTTTATTAACTATATTTGTATAACTAGTTTAGTGTCTAAATCCATTTTCTAAAACCGGATTTATTTTTAGTTATCCAAATCCATATGTATGAAGCAACCTTATATTTTTATTTACTAAATTTTGGCGTTATATTAATTTACAAAATTTTATTGTAACTATATTTTACTATTACTATTTTTTTATTAATCTTAATTCTTATAATTAACATATTTAAAAATATTAAAATATAACAAATATTTTTAAATTAGTTACTACTGTTATTTTTATATTTATGTTTATTTTTTAATTTTTAAAATATTATAACATAAAAATTTTATTATTATTTATATTATTAATTTTTATTTTTATAGGTTTTAATTTAAATTTTTATTATAAACTCTATTTATTAAAAATAAGTTAAAAATAATAATAAATATTTTATATACTTCTATAAAATATAATATATTAATAAATATTGTTAAAATCTTTTTGAAATGAACTATTTTAATGTAACATTTGTACAATAAATTAGTTTTACTTTAAAAATATAATTCACAAATATATTAAAAATTAATTTTGCATTAAAAATTAAATTTAAAATTAAATTTAAAACTAATTCAACGTAAAATCAAATTTGAAACTAGTTTCAACAAAAACTAAATTTAAAACTAATTTTAAACTAAATTTAAATTTTAAAACTATTTTTGAACTGATTAAAAAAATAAAATAAAATAGTTTAAAATTCAACTCATATAATTAATTTGTGTGATGGATAAATAATATAAAGTACAATATATCTAAATATTTATTATTTTAATAAAATATAAAATTAAAAAATACTATTAAAAAATTAAAATATATACAAATACTCTCTTAACATGTATTGTTAATGTAATGAGTTAGAGTATTATTTATATTCATATTTTATCTTTGATAAATGTTGATGATTAACAAATATATATATATATACATATATATATATATATATAATGTTATATTATTTATTTAAATAATTTAATAATAATTAAAAAATAATAATGATATATTTTTACCATATGTAAAAATGATTTAAAATTAGTTTTAAACTAAATCCAAATTTTAAAACTAAATTTAAACTAATTTTAAAAAAATTAAAATGGATTGATTTATAATCCAATCCATATAATTAGATTTTAAATGAATTTAGATTAGTTTTTTAAAAATCCAATATATGAACACCCTGCCACACATAACAAAAACAAACCAAAGGGAAAGTTATCAACAGCTTCATTAATAATTTGAATCATGGAATATCCGAATCAGCATCCTTATCCACCACAACCCTCTCCCTCTGCACCGATGCTGCCTGTCCCTGTCGCCGTGATCGGTCCTCAGTATTGTGCTCCGTACCCCATAGATCTGGCTATTGTCAAGAAGGTCATGACCATTGCGGATGGTAGCTTCGTTGTCACCGACATCAATGACAACGTTGTCTTCAAAGTTAAGGGTTCTGTCTTATCTCTCCGTGATCAACGAGTCTTGATTGATGCCGCCGGCAATCCCATCGCAACCCTACGCCGGAAGGTTTCTCGTTCTCTCTTTAACTTTTTACTAATAAGTACTTTTAAAGCACTGGTTGAAAAATTAAAATATTAAATTTTTTATAAATACTGTCGATCTATACTTAACCGAATAATTTCTAACGTATTTTCAATATGATTTTATAAGAACAGTTTTATATTATTTGATTCCCTAACCAGTAACTTATGTCTCTATTTCCAAGACTCTTTCTTGCCAATAAATGGTTTCCTTTCATCTTAATTTTTCAGAAGTTTATTTTTCCCTTTCTGGTGATTATTCACAAGTATTTTACAAACAAGAAATTCAGCATGTTTATCATTTAGTAATTAATTTTCTCACGCATCAACGTTTATCCGTTAAACAAAACATTACATATACCTATCAGTCACAATTAATCTAATGATGTTGATGTTATATATAGTTAAATTGTATTATTGATGCAGATAATGACGGCACACGATCGATGGCAAGCCTTTAGGGGCGAAAGCACAGATCCAAAAGATCTAATTTTTACTCTGAAGCGCTCATCCCTGATCCAGTTTAAGACTAAATTAGATGTGTTTTTAGCCCATAACACCACCGAAAATGTTTGTGACTTTAAGGTCAAAGGTAGTTGGATGGAACGATCTTGCATTGTTTATGCTGGTGAATCTAACGCCATTGTTGCCCAGGTCAAACTTCTCTATTTAAATAACCAAAATAGTCAATTATTCTTTTTTTTTCTTACAAAAAATATAATTGGTTAAAATTAATTACTTTCAGTAAATTATAACTTCATTATTTATTCTAATTACTTTCGAAATAAAATATTCTTTGGGATTGATTGCAGATGCATAAAAAACATACAGTTCAGAGTATTGTAATGGGGAAAGATCACTTCATGGTCACTGTGTATCCCAACATTGATTATGCGTTTATAGTAGCGCTAATCGTGATTCTTGATGAGCTTAATGATGATGCAAAGGATGATTAGAGAAATGTTATACATTCAGCAAATCTTGTTGTATACCTTCTTCTATCAATGGTGCTATATATACTTTTTCAATATATATTTATTGTATTTGTTTAGTTGTTTCATCTTTCTAATTCAAATAGGCAAATAAAAATACCCATATCTTGAAGAATTGTAAGTGATTTTTTATTAAAATTATATTAAAATGCATTCGAAACTATGAGAAAAAATACATGAATTTTTCAATTAAAAGTTATTTTTAATTTCTTAATCAATGCTTATAAATATTTATTAGTATTTACCCTTAAAAAATATTTAAATTTGAGCTGGATACGCATAGCATCTCCCATCTTGTGAGTTTTTTATTTTTTTATTTTTTTATTTTTTTTGTATTCGTAAAATATATACTCTCTTTAATGCAATAGTTCTGTGGTGAAAACTATTCTCCAATGACAAAAACATTAAAATAAAAATTACTCCCTTTCTTTATATAGCTATATAAGGTTCATTATTTCATAGAAAACTAACTCCTATTATTTATTGCTTAAAAAATGTTTAAAATTTCATAATAAATACTTTTATTTCCTTCTTTAATTTATAATATAATTTCAATACTTCAAGTCCTTATTCATAAAACGAAATAATGCGTGCTCTCTTTGCCATGTAGATATATGCCATCCTCATTTTCTGACATAAATTTTATGGATTTTTATATCAAAACAGATTAATACTTTCCCCTTGAATATGTTATTCAATTAGAGGATTATTGTAGTTTCCTTGATTAATTTAATTAATATAAAAATTTCTTCAATTAACAATATAATGTAATATTAATTAAACAAATTTTTTTCAACTTAAAGTTTCACTGGGTTTTACATTTATATTTATTATTACTGTGTATTCAAATATATTTTAAAGAATAAAGATAGATCATGCATAAAAGATAAATTGATTTGTTCAATTTTTTTTATAAGTTAGAAAGAAAACAATTTACATTAGTTTATCGCTCTGTAATTTTATAAAGTTTGTCTAAGTTGTTCTACAGAAATAAATAACTCCATCTCTAGTGAAACAAACAAAGTTAATATATTATGTTTAAAACTCCAATGATATTTTTATATAATTACCTAAGCTAAGATTAAGTTACTCGTTGTAAAGTAACTTAAATTTAAGATAAAATTTATGTGTAGTATTATAAGTACTTTTTATATTATTTATCGATTAAAATTAATATGGTGAGTGAATTTATTATTAAAATTTTTTTATATATATAAAGACTTAAATTCGAGACCTTATTTAAGTGATACTAAGCCGCTTACAACTCAAATTAATCTTCATTTTAATATTGATTTTTTATTTTGATAATGTATGTCAATATTTATTGCATAGATTAATAAAATAAATTAATTAACTTTTAATTCGATGACAACACCAGTGATAATGCACCTAGGTCATAAAATTATTGTTGCATTAACTGGCATTTGACTAAGATATGTCTATGTTAAAAAAATTTACCTTCCGAGTGGAAATCAATTTTTTAATATGTGATGTGTGTGTATATAAGTGTTTAATGGAAAAGTTAACTGAGAAAGTTTACATTTGAATAGTTGACTCAGTTATATAAATGTCATTTTTCATAATTATCTCACTTGTCATTTCCTTCCTTACCATGGGAATAATTTTTGGGATGGTCAACTCCTATGATATTGCTTTTGGCTAACAAAGTTTTAGAAGTGAGCATACATATTTTAGTTTGCATTTGTTATCTTCTGAAGCAATTGGAAAGCAATAAAACTTAACATATCCTGCAACCGTTGACTAAGTGTACATCTACCTCATTGTGACATTGGGTATCTCATATGATTCCAATTTAATTAACTGGCAAATATTCGAAAAACATCACATAAATCAAAGTGTGCTTGCTGTGCTCTCTCACAATTCCCCTTTCCATGGAAGAGTGCATCTCAGTTATTGGCTCTCAATATTCTCGTAATTCTCTCAATCTAAAAATTGATACAAAGAAAGGTGTCACGTACATCAACGAACGATGAAGTAATTTTCAAAGTTAAGAAAACCTTCTTCACACTTCACAACCGTCGTGCTCTATATGATGTTTCTGGAAACCCAATTGTCACTCTACACAAGAAGATTTGGTTATTCAAATGTCTCATAAAAAACTTACTAACTAATCTAGCTAGTTTAATTTAATATTTTCAACAATATATACTAATTAAGTTAAAATTTCATTTTATCTTAGTTTATTATTCTTAATTTTTGTTTATGCAGAATATGAGGAATCGGTTCCAAGCTTTCAAGGGAAAAAAGTAAAGATCCCACTGAATCGCTCTTTAAGCTCAAGCGTTCTTCAGTAAAGCAGGAGGGGAAAATTGATTTTGATGTTTTCCTGGCTCCCAACAGGGATGAAAGTGTTTGTGACTTTAAAGTAAGAATGGATAAAAGTAAAAATTGTTGTAATATTTATGTAGGTGAATCTTCTAGGATTATTGCTGAGGTACGTATTATATGGATTCAAACCTCTTAAAGTGGAGAGATATATAAAATAAAAAAGTAAAATTTTATTTATCATTGATTTAATATTAAATATTTTATAAAAAAATTGGATAAATATTTACTTTCTCACTTTATACGTCTCACTTTTCAAGAATCTAATCTATATTCATATGTAATAATAATAATAATATCTGTACCCATTTGTATATGTTCATATACTACATATAATTCAGAACATTTAATTGTTTAAAATTTACATTAAAAGGTTTTAACGTTATTTTCATATATCTTACTCGGTCATAGATTAACAAAGGATTTAGAACAACAGGGTTAAAGTTATTATTATTATTATTAGTTGTTTTGGTTTTTTAAAATGATTTTTTAAAATTATTTATTTTTTTATGAATTTTTTCTTCTATTCACATTACTAATTTGTTACTAAAATCTTGTTAATTTTGTCAATTTTTTAGAATTCGTGTTAGCCCAACTTATTCTAGACGCTAAAGAACTTGCACCATTAGTAATTCTAACAATCTGTTCAACGATATTTAAATGGGGTGAACTGTTGAATTTATTTCAATCCCATTTTCCATTATCATCACTAAATGAGGAGATTGGTAAATATACAATCACAATTGGAGTACTAGCCGTGTTCTTGGGTAACTCCAAAAGGTCCAAAATTCAAAACCAGCATTCTCAGACCACCAACGACTCAATACTCAATTGAGTTGGATATAGACTCGCTTAAGCACCAATGCCTATACATTCCATGTTCCATGTGCGTTCATCAAAGAAAATCATAGCCAACAAGCCACACTTTTCCCTCCCCTTAGGGTCACACTAGATTGTTATTATACATATTTCTCATCTGTATTTGAGCCCTGCATAACAAATCAAAATAATTACATCGATCAGGTACATACACTATTGTATTATTGTTACTAACTTTAAGTATCGAATTGCCTTTGTAGGCACACCCTGCTTCCTCATCAACCCTCAATCACACAAACATATATTGTAGCAGATCGTTTTCATACCTACATTAAGCTCATCATCCTTGGCGTTATGAGAACGATACTAGATCAGGTTGGACAAGAAAGTAAATGAGAATATTAATATATATTTTGTTTGATCCATGGGTCTAGCCATTATTAATAGTTATATAATCACGAATCAACTATTAAATATTATCCAGAATCGAAACAACTACCTCCCCAAGTTTTTTAGCAACTGGTAGGCTTCTTATCATTAGCGATCAAACATGGGCCACATTATACTTAGATTTCAACACATTTACCCATGAAGTATCAGGCTTATCAATGATACTCCAACTAAGTTTCTTCATTAAAGCTTGATGTGCATGTAAATGATACAATATTATTGCTTAAATTAATATCCAAATCTTGCATGCAGATGATACAATTTTGCATGTAGGTGTAGTGTATGAAAATCAAGAACAATCTTGAAGCTCACAAGTATTAAAATTAGACCCTCTAGAGAGATCCATTGCCTACTTAGTGGAATATACCAATGTGATTTGAGCTCTAGCCTAACATGAGGAAAAGCTATCAGAGTACTCTACTGTTTTACCAAGAACAATACATCAGATTTATCTTTTTATAGCGATTCCATCACAATACGCTATCCAATGTTGAACAAAAAAAATGATTATAATAGATTTTTGAATAATTAAAATAATAAATTTTATTTTTAAAAAGATTTAAAAGGAGAAGAGATCTATTATAGCAGTTTTTACGGAATATCTATAACAGGTTCATGCCTGTTATAGCAATTAGAAATTAAAGACAAAACTTAAATGATGTAGTAAGTGTTTTAAGCGTAATTTTCCAATTAAAATTTGAGTTTTACTAATACAAATAATAAAAATCAACATTTAAGGTTGCTATACATTACTAAGCTAAAATTCTAATTTTAATTAAAAAAAACAAAAAAAAAAAAACAAAAGTACAACACTCAAATGATGTCCATTAAGAAAACCACTCAAATGTTAAAATTTTCTAATTAATTAATTTAATCCTCAATTAAAAATATTTTATAACACAATGTTTCGATCTGCAAATGCTGACATTAGTAATGTGAATTGTGGCTATAAAATTGAAGGAGTATTTATATTTTGTGTCTGTCGGGATAACAGAAAGTATTGCTGCACTCGGAACTCCAGAACAGCTTCTGACTCGTGTGTATCTATTAATTCATTTTTTTTAAAATCAAAACTCGGCAATTTATAAAACTCAAGAATCAGAAGCAAGAGTTAACCACACTTTTGGTGGAGCACCATGCCACCATGCATGATTAATATAATCTGCTGCTGAAGATGTATTTTGTCTGCTACAAAATTTCCTTTTCTGCTAATATGTGAAAAAAAAGTAAGATTTGACTGCTCATAGTGGAGCAATCTTGCATATGACATTGCTGTCCCATGAGTATTTAATTAGTAAAAAAAGTTTTGATTTATTAACCAAGTATTTCTCTAGCTACCTCTAAAGCTT